GTGTTATAGTAATAGAGCTCGGTAAAGTAGTCTGTGGTGCTATTGGTATTATTTCAATGCCTGGTCTCCTTTCCAAACCCATCCCCGTAAGTACAGAGTTATAGTTCGTAGTTTGACCCAAACTACTGCTTGAAATTGGCGTTATACTTACTGATGGTGGTACCAGATTCTTGTTTTCTTCAAATATAATTGGGCTCTTTTTCTCCTCTCTCTTCCTCGATTTGCGATCACGTTTAATTAATTCTTCAACATCTTGTAAATCATGAACTTCTGTTATTTCGCTCTCGTTGTCGATATCGTAATCTGAACTTTTATCTGTTCCCAAAATATCGGTTGGATCTAAATTAGAAAAATCCAAACCACTAGTTAAACTCGTAGCTGAGGTTGGTGTAGATGTTCTGGTCTCATTTAAATTTTCTCTGCCACCGGTTGGTGTACCAAGAGGTGTCGAATCGGAACTAGAACTCTCCAATAATATTTCAGTACTCTCGTCTCCCTTCCTTTTAGGACTTCGCCAAATACCATCCGCAGTTTTTCTTTTACGCGTCTTTTTTGTGCGCTCATTCACTGAATTAGACATAGAGCTTTTTGCCTGTCCAAGCAGAGCTCCCAATTGTAATGGATTTAACATAGCAGTAGTCGTGGTATCGGATTGGCCGGAATAAGACGGAAAACCGATACTATTCTCCGTTCCGGCATCTAAAAAAGGCTGCTGTTGTGGTTGTTGTTGCTGTTGCTGTTGTTGCGATGACTGTTGCCTTCCCATTGTTCCATTTCCATTATTCAAACCTGGTTCCTGTTTGATTTTCGTTTCTCCATTAGTAAAATCAGGCATTCCAGAACCATTTTGGCTATTCTGATCTTTGCCAGAACCAAGATTTACATTATAATTTCCATTTCCACTATTTAAATTGTTCATTGTACTTAAAGAGTCACGACTCTCCCATGATTTCATAAGAATTCTCATTGTCAAAGGTATACTTAAACACTTTTGTAATACTTTTCCAGTTAAATCTGATGTCTGTTCTGTATTTGTTATACTTATGCCATACAACTTGCATTTTAATGCGGAAATATCCGTCAAATCCAGCTCCGCCGTTGCCATGGTCTCTTCGAAAGGATGCTCCAAACTTACCGATATATGTTGCCACGATAAAGCGTTTACTTCAAATATAGTTGCATGTTCTGGATCTTGTCGAGCCATAGGTCTAACGCAACTAGCAATTAAAGTATTAAAAAGCGCTTGCTGACGCAAATATACCAAGATTTGTGGAACGTGCGCCGGATGAGTGAAAGGAATGCTACAAACTAACACACCCTCCATATTTTTATTCTCCGTCATGAAATAACAATGCTGTTGATCCGGTAAAGTCTGTAACAGAAAGATAAGATTCGAAATAGTAAAAAGTATTAATAATTAATTATCATGTAAAATAATTTACATACAACATAAAGTCCTCTATTATTGCGGCAATCCAGTTGTCCTTCGCTAGCATGTTGAATAATTAAACTAAGTAATGGATGGGGAGCAGATATATCTCCACATTCCAATTCCGTTACTTTCTGTATCCTACGTACTAATTCCATGCACATCGGCATTTTTTTAGCGAGTTTTAAAACAAAACAAGCAGGTAATACCGACGAATTTGTACCAGTTAATGGAGCATAAGATGGGGTACTAGAATGTATGAATTGTTTATTGAATTATTATTAATTAAATTAGATAGAATATATATTTTATAAAAAAAAATTATAAACCTTTTTCCTGTAGGACTTCTATTTACAGTTATGATACTAGAAGTAGGCAACTTGTGAGCAGTCGAACCTTCCATACAAACTGTAACGGAATGACCGATCTTCCGTTTGATAACTATTTCTGAACTCAATGCATCACAGGTACGATTCTCCTGATCTATTAAATCAAAAGGAGAAACAAAATATGTTAACTTCATCGCGTGACCTCCTCTTCTTCGTTCAAGAATTCCTAAAATAAAAAAACATTTCATTATCATATACATTCATATTTTTTTAAAATAATTCTTATTTTAAAACAAATATCATACTATTTATACTAACCAACTGGGCTTTTATGAACGAGATTAAATGGTTCTTTTATAAATGTTTGCAATTGAGCTAAAATACCCAAGTCAGATTCTAGCGATTGTAAAGCACTAAATGCCTTACATTTTACCTTTTTATCAGCATTTAATTGATATATTGAAGCTAAACCTTCTAATTGTACTGTAAAATCAAGAAAATCTCCTCGCGATAAACAAGACACCAATACATCACAGCTCTGTAAACATTTCATTAAGAATCATTATATAATAAAATATATTAATTTTATATAATAAAATACATAATAATAAAATGTATTTAAAAAAATGATTTTCTCGTGAAAATTAAAAATTTGTACCTGCTGTTCATTTTTTCCTTCATGATGAATTTTAACATCTTTAACTACACCTGTTGGTTCCAAAAGAACCTCTAAAAAAAACATATCCGAAGAAATAAACAATTCTGTACCTGGTGGACCAGACATCATAAACTTTAAGCTGTAATCCAATCATAACACAAATATTAAATCAGTTATCTAATTTTGTTTTATTTTTCTTAGAATAAATAATTTATATTTACCCCAACTGTCTGGTTAAACTTTCTAAACGTTCCACCATGGATTGTAAAGAAGTTACTTTTATGGAATGTTGCAAAGTATCCAAACATTTTTGTAGTTGACTCTTTTCAGCACTATCAATTGCAAATCTTTTATCCTATTAAAAATAATTTAAAAATAAATATTTATTGAAACATATATCAATATATTACAAATTACATACCAACATAGCCATTCGTAGATTTTTGGCAGTCTCCACCAAGGATTTATATGTAGAAGCTTTAGAACGTAATTTTTCCATAAGCAATTCCATCTGCCACTCTTTTCCTTTATCCATTCCTGAACTTCCAGTGGCAGAAGATTGCCCACCTATAATAAAAAATTTATTAGATTGTATAATATACAGTATATAATATATAATATCTTTGGATAATATCTCTAATATGTAACTTTGGAATATTAAATAGATATTAAATACATAAAACTTTTAATAAAAAACTTCTAAAAGTTTTAATAATGAAGTTAAATTAATTTAATTAATTTCTATAATCATGTTGTTATGTCATTATAGGTATAATTAATTTTTTATAGATGTACGGATAAATATATAGAAAGATTTTATTCAACATTCGAAGATTATATTGGTTCGAATTTTTAAAAACAATTTCAATAAATTTTATTCAAAACATTCAAATATTTTATTTGTTTTAAAATAAAATAAAATTATATATAAATTAAATAAATTCATTCATTAAATAAATTCTAAATTATACTTACTGAGGGGCTTTTGTCCGTTCGCAACATCCATGTATTCCGTTGTGGATCACACGGATGTTATATATGCGTATATAGATATACGTTTATTATTATAATATCACAACAACATTATTATACACTACATTGTGACAGGAGCTGTTATTTTCACCTAACCCACGTTTGGTTGCTTAACTGCTCCTAACCTTCACGCACAAAATACTAACTATACTTAGAAGCCATACGTTTCTACGTATAGGCGTTTTCATCCATAGTATCCCTCAAGAAGGGGAATTTTATAATGCTTTATTAAGACTTACTCTTTTACACCCTCTATAGTTCAAAGATTAATATTAATTAGAATGCTTAATATTTGTTAAATAAAAAATTATTTATAATCAATAGTTAATTATATTTTTTTAAAATTATAATTTATTGTTTAATTTAATATGTATACGATATATACATAAATAAAAAATTTATAGAACTTATGTAAAATATGAAATACGTTTCTATAAATTATACTCATATAATGTTATATATCTAATGTAGATGGCAAAAACTATATAAAAAAAATGATATATTATAATGAAATATATATTTCAGTTATAATTCAAATATACTATTTTTAAATTGAAATATTTGAATGCGTTTGAGAATGCATCGAAATTAAAAGCAACTATAGCGCTATCTATTGGAGCATCAAAGAAACTAAAAATCTCCCTATCCATTTGTACACGAATATGTGAAAATAAAAATATTTATATAAATTAATTGCAATAGATTTAATATAAGATCTCTATTATAAAATCTATTATAAAATTATTAAATCAATTTTAGAGAACAAAAATTATAATAGGATTATAAATTGAAAATATAATATAAAACTGATAATTATATAAAAAAAAATATATAAAAAAATTCTTTGATCAAATATTAATAATTAATAATATATATATATATATGAATAACATAATATGAATAATATATAAATAAACTTTTTTTAAATATATTTTTTTCCATTTCAATTAAAAACTTATTATATAGATAATATTAATATCAAAGATGTGGAAAAGAATATTGGTTATGATTCACTAACTTCAATTAACATTGAAAATATTCTTTATTAATGGACATTTTTTTTTTTTTTACTTGAACTAAAACTTATGTAAATAACATCATTATCAATTATTAAATATTTTGTCAAGATATTAACAATGCTACTACATTGAAATGTCCATTCAAAAATGTTACATACACAAAATAATTTCTAAAAAGCAATATTTCAACATTTCAATTTTTTACAAATTTTTCTTACAAATCTTTAGACATTAATTGTTAAAATAATTATTGTTGTACTCTTGCAATCCATATTTACTACACATATTGCAAAAATTTCATATTTACCACTTATTTTTAATTATTTTAATACTTTATATCTCTGTTAGATTATCTCTGTTAAAATTTTATTTAATACTGATAGTTTTTTAATCAAATAAAAATAACTTTTTTAATAAAAATTATGGAACTATGTATTTTTATTGCACCAACTTTCAATTTTTACTTTAATTAAAAACTGATCTAAAAAATCAATGTCAATTTTATAATACCAGTCAATTTTTAAATCTCTCATTATTTTTATATTAAAAATATTGGATAAATCAACTGTCACCAATTAAAAATTGAATTTTTTTTTTTAAATTCTTCATAGCTTCTTTTTTTAATTTATTCTTCAACTGCTTTATACAAACTTTCATTCTACTTACAGACTCGAACTCTCAAACTTACAAAGATATACCTACTTAAAGAGAAAAAAATATTTGTCTATCTAACTGTAGAGCACCAATTAAACAAGTGCACAGTCTTATTTAGGAAAGTCTTTAGAATCATTCATTGACTGGCTCTTTTTCCGTGGTAACTGTAACGTGATTGGTTGAACATCTTGAACTTTCCTAAGTCCCTGATTCGAACTACGAAATGTGATCTTCAAATTGGGTACATGCTGTTCTGTCGCCCAATCAAAATTAAAAATTGGCGTTTCTGCATGTAGTTCGGAATCCGGAGTGTCAACCGGTGTAGTTGGTGTAGCTACATATGGACTAAGTTCTTGATGAACAACATCTGGTACCCTTTGCAGAGTATCTGACCAAACTGGACTCGAGTTCCAATGTTCCATAGATAACTCAGAAGGATCAGTTGTCGATCCTGTCGCTGTGGACGTTGATAATGTTTTACCCGAAAGTCTTTTATGACCGTTATTTCTGTCATTACAACAATATTCTTTATCTAAGTCTGTGATATAATACTTAGGCGACAATGTATCCACATTATATTGACTGTGACATTGAATAAATTTTGCACGATAACCGCTCAAATTTAATGAATTTTTATGATGGGTTTTGTACCTATCTGTAAATTGACCAAGTGCATAATGGCTATGTTGTACATTCACGTGTACATTTCTATTCTCATGTTCGCTACTGCTAATCGACATATCAACTGGTTCTGCATCTTCTCGTGGATTTCTTGTTGCATAATCCTTTAATTGTGGTTTCGATGAATTGTGCAAATCTTGTTCAGAATTTCGTATATCAGGAGAATGTTGCGTATCATTATTATGTGCGTGGGATAAGGAACGAGTGTAATCTTGTTGCTGATTACTTTGGCTCCCAGTAGCATATGGCACACCGCGGTTTTGATTCCCAGAACAGATGGTGTAAGTAAATTTAGTTTGAGATGAATACTGGTACAGCCAGGAACTTGAACGCATTACTTCCGCTTCTCTGTCACTGTAATTTATTTATAATATAAATAGTATAAATAATGTATTAAATAATGTATTGATTTATTATTTTATTATTTTTATATTATTTATAATTATTATTTTTTTAATTGTAACATATACTATTTAATTCATAGAATAATTAATTAGATTAATTAATTATTCTAATTTCATAAGTAATTAGATTTTAAATGATTTTTAAAATTCTTATGTAAATAAAAAAGTTAATATTAAAAAATAAAAATATTTAAAATGAAAATTATAGATATGGAAACGCACCTCAAAACTTGATTCGTACACACAATGATAGGATGTTGACATTCTTCGGAAGTATCTTTGACTTGTAAAACACAGTGTACCCAGAACCATCGTCCGGAACGATTTTGCAGTCTCAACAATGCAGTTGCAGACCGTTCTTGATCAGATTGAATAACTAAAACCATAGGTAATATCGAAGCTTTTAAATATTTTAAATATTAAAATTTCATTTAATTTTCAAATTAATATTTCATTTCAATCCTATTTTTATGCTTATTATCATTTTTTATGCTTAAATAAGACAAAACGAACAATATTTATATATATTTATATATAATAATATTTATATTATTTTCAATTAAACTTATAAATTTAACTATTTTAAATTTATATGAACATACCAGTTTGATGTTTGCAATATGCTGTTCGTATCGAATCCCAATGTAACAAATTATACCATGACATATTTACTAATTCATTACGGGTATATTCCAAATGGCTTTCAGCCCTATAAATAAAATAAGATTTTAATTTTCTAATTCTAAGCTTGGTAAAATTTTCAAATAAAAAAATAAATTACGTTTTATCGATATGAAGATATTTCATATCCATAGAATGAATGGTGGTGAAAATATTTGTTGCGCCCTGCACAATACTTTCTCTCGTTTCTGGCAAAACAACGGGTGTACACGAAGCAAGGAAAACAAACTCATTTCGATTACAAACCGGAACGAAAGGTAAAAAATGGCCTTCAACTAAAACCACCTATAAAAAAAATAGCGATAAAACTAAATTCAAAAACAATATGAAATGGATATTAGCGAAAAAACAAAAATTTAGAATAATTGTTAAACCAAAAAATAAGTGAAGATAGACCAAAAATTTTTTATTCAACATCGATCAAAACCATAAAATATTGAAATAATTTTATTAAATATAAATAACTATTCTATTTTACTATTATATTTTACTATTCTAATTAAATATATACCTTTTGATCACCAAAACGAAGTTGCCTCCGTGAATTTCTGGATACGTTGATCCGGCAAAGAAACAATCTTCTATCGCTTGGAATAGGACTATTTCTAGATAATTGATTTTGTACAACCATGTGATCTTGTTTGTCTATTACGTCGTAAACACTATCTCCGTGGATAAGCAAATCCTCCTAAAATACATTTTACAATATAGGACGAATTAAATTTATATAATTCCTTTGATAAACTATATTATAATTTAATATTTTTTATTACAAATAGTAAAATATCTAAAAATAATTTTTTTTATTTATTTGAATTATTTTTTAATATAATTGATTACCATAATTGTTGTGTCTTTGCAATTACTTTACCATAGAGTGTCCAAGATATTCCGCCGCATTTTCCGATATATACAACAGTTTTCCTTGCTGGGTCATCATCATTATAAATCCGGACATGGCCTGAAAAATTGCATGCATTGTATGGCCAACATTTGTACCGTAGCAACTAACGGTCAAAAATACAATGCGATATCATGATAAACAATATTACTTTTGAAAATCCAATGTTAGGGGTCGGGATATTCGAAGAGTCGGACGGACAGTTTTTCAAGGCTGAAACAAAGAATAAGATCGGTATGTTAACTTAATAAATTATCAAACATTTAAATATTATATATTTTTAATTTTCATATGAATATATCAAAAAATTTATTAAAGAAAATAAATTTTCTTTCATCACATACTAATTTTTATTATAATTAATTTTAATATCGATTATTCATTTGATAAATAATTGAAGTAAAATTAAAAATATTAGTAAAAAATATATAAATATATTATTAATTAATATTTTTAATTAAATTAAAATTATATGTAACATGATCGAAAATTATTAGCTAATGTGATTTATGGCTTTTGTATAATACGTTATAAAATTTAAATCTTGTGATAACATAAAATTATTATGATGTTATAAAACTAATGTCGCATTTTATTCCTAGGATCTTATCAACAACACTGGTTTTATTATTCATGAACATTTTAACTTAATACTATTCTAGATAAGGTCCTTTATATCTCAATAACAATAAAACTGTTTTATAGACAACATCTTGGACGAACAAAGAACAAATAGAAAAATAATAAATATAAATAAAGTGATAAAACTTCGATAACATTTTATTGTAAAAAAAAAAAAAAAAATAATTAAATTATCCATTTTAATAGTATTATAAAAATATCATTTCTTTAATTATATATTTTTATAACATTTATAATAAATATAATTTTTAAAAGTTACAAGATTTTAAAAAATAATATAAAAAATAAATATTATAAAAATAAAAAGAATTTATTTACATTTAATATAGTTTATTTAATATATTATTCAATGTTTATTAATTAATATACTATTTGATTTATAAATTATAAATAATGTTGATTTATAAATTATAAATATTTATAAATAAAATTGATGTAATAATACATTAATTATAATTTATGTAATATCTCGTGATTTATATTTTCTAAAGACTGAATAAATACAAATATTTATAAAAATATACAAATATTGCCATAAAATTATCATTATCAAATCTAAACCTAATAAAATTTTTATTAATATGACTGAAAGATAAAGAAACATGATTCAGCCGGAAGTTAAACATAATTCTAACTAGATAACTACACAGAAGGTGTACAGTTGACTATATTTTATTTAGGAAAATAAGAAAGAAAATTAAATCAAAACTATATATTCAATCATTAAGATATTATATAAATAAGAGAATAATAAACTCAAAAATATAAATCAACAATCCAGAAGAATAGGTTAAAGTTAATTATAATTACTTGAATGTATCAATAGTTTTAATTTAAAAAAAGAAAAATTTTATATTATTAAAAGACATAAAAAATGAAAGATTTTATAATGATTTTTTTATTAATTTATTAACATATACAAACATTGCAAACATCAATTTATATAAATCTTCTAACAACTGAATATTTTCTTGAATATTAGATTCTCTGCTCTTGTATCAAAATCCCTATTTCCCAATAAAAAATCATTATAAAGAACGAGCATAATCAATTAAGAAGTAATCTGATTGGAAAAAAAAAGTAATAATGGCAAAAAATTTGTTCAGTGTGTTTTTCAACATTGGACCCAGGGGAAAGAAAAAAGTAGCAAGATAGAGGAGAGGGAAAGAAGCGTATGCTAATGCAGCCACGGCTACGTTTACAAACGGCTCTACACGGGACTATAGTATCGAATACTGTGAAACAATGAGTATGTAGGAGAGAAAGAAAGAACGACGGAGAGCGGAGAGACGATACAGAGGGAGTATGGGTTACAGGAGCGTGAGAGTGTTGTTGCAAAGGCCGACAGGTCAGCGGATCACCCGGAACTCGCGCTTAGACTCTGCTGAGTTTGAATGTACGCCGATCTTACCTTCTTGCCTTACCTACCTCCCTACCTTTTACCTATATATTACTCTCTACGCTTGCACAACGGAGATGGCCGAAGTTTTTGATCCTCGAACGACCGTTTAATATTCTTGTCAAACGGCCGATTCTTATTGCTGAGAGAATTTGATCCATATCCGAACTAAAAGTTGTACGGACTTCCCTTAAGGAGGATTATATATATTTCATTTGATTGCGTCAATTGAATCGTTTCATAAAATATTTAAAAAAGATTTTGGTTAATATAATTCTTGAAAAATAGTTCAATATAAATTTGATTAATAAATTAATTGGAATTTTGATCATTTTAAATTTAAAATTTTTGTATTTTGATCCAGAATTGAATAGTTGATGATTTTGTTTATTAATTATTGGATGATATTTTATTATAAAATATTGATCAAGATCTTAAAAATTAGAAATATAAAAAATATGTTTTAATATTTTGTATAAGAATTTTCTATTATTATATTGTATTCTTTAATCATATTGATTGAATCGTTTGCTAAAATACTTGAAAAATTTCTGATTAATATTAATGCTTTTTTATTTGAGGAATAGTTGATTAGAATTTATAATTTAAATACTTGTGTTTCGACAAATTAAAATGATATGTCTGTTAAAGAAAATTTTGTGCAATATTTGAATAATATATTGGCAAGTTAAAAATTAAAAAATACGAAGGAACTTTTGTAATAAAATAAATAATTGTATAATAAGAATTGTATAATAAGAATTATTTATTTATTTTATAATTTATTTATTTATTTATATAATTTGAGAACAATCATATGAGATAGACAAATAATAGAGTTTCAAGAACTTTCTGGCAATTTAGGTTTTTACAGATTAATAACATTGATGTCTTTTTAGTTTCCTGTTTTGAAAATTGATTATCGTAAAGGGATTTCCTGAAAAGTAATGAAAAAGTGATATAACTGCGAAATTATGGAGACGCAACGATTTATTTAGATAATTCACACTAGCATTTGCAAAATTGTTTATAAATTATATGTTTATAATTTCATGAACATCATGATTATAATTTAATATCTATTATTAATACTTCATTGTTTTAAATTTATTTCATTATAGACGTTAATTTATAATAGATATATTATAAAATCAATATAAAATCAATTTCTATTATCCTATTAAATAAATATAATTTATTATTTCAAAATTAAATATTAAAAATAAATAACAAATATCAATTGATTTTTAAATATATAATTATGATTTAATATTAGATATAGGTTGATAAAATAAACGGTCAAATATAATATAAATTATAGATATATAAAAATGCAAAAATTATTTGAAATAATTATTTTCACATTAATATTATAAATGATAAAAACTTCAAGAGATAAGATACGATATTCACAATATTTATTGGAATTTTATTTTCCTAATACATATTTGTAATCTCTTGAACGAAATCATACATTATGTAAAATATTTCATAATTAAAAAATATAGAAAAATATTTTTCTAATACATTATTAATGTAATTTTCAAGAAATAGTCGAGAATAGATTTTTAAATTTTCAAAATATGATTATACAATATACTTAGTCATTATAATTATCTACCACCTTGAAATAACTAATACAGTTATTATACTATATTTTGATATTGGTTTTTGCGGTGACGTACAGGTCTACTGGAAGATGGAGAATGTAAAAATTAAAACGACGACCGTCTCGCCATGAAACAAAGGCATAGCGTTCACTGTGCAAGAAGTATACACAAAAGCATTCACAATTTTTTATTTTTGTCTGTTAAAGTTTTTTTATATTTATAATGATTTCATTTATATTATATATAATGAAATGCTTCTTTAAAATTTTAAAAAAATTACATGTTCTAACTAAAGAAATTGATTTTATTTAATATATTCTTCAAATTCTATTTTATCACATAATAATAAAAATAATAAAAAAAATATTATATTTGTTATAATAGGAACTTCTATTTAATACCTTGAATTTTTCTCTAATAATTTTTTCTAAAATTTTTTAAATTTCAATTATCAAATATAATATTATTATATTTTTAAAATAACAAAAAGATCAATTTAAATTTATTATAGAAATTATAAAAAATAAATATTTTTTTTAACTTCATATTGTGCATTATAAAAACATATTTCAATTAATTTAAATATTTACAAGATGATATTTTTAACTCTGTCATTATTATTAACAATATTACGAAAATTATTTTTCATGACAAAAATTGCTGTCTATATATTATTTCTTCATTATGTTTTATGATTTAATTTAATTTATCTAATTATGACAGCAAATTCTAAATAGCAATTTCTTCTTATTGATCACACGCTATAATCTATGTTTTAAATATTCATGATTTTTAACAATTTAAAAAATATATAATAATATTTATTATGTCTAAGATAGAAATTAAATATACAAGATCATTTTCAATATAACATTAATCTTTAATATTTTTTTTTAATAAATTAAAAAATAGAAAATTCCCAATGGAATTTTATATAATGTATTGTAGCACTTGAGATTTAATCTTTAGGAATCTAAAATACAACATCAATTATTCTATTATGAATATCCTTAAATTGCATATGAAAAAAAAGCATTAGATTTCAAATATAAAGAATTCTTTTGTAAACATTTGAGTTTTTCATGTATTTTATTCAACTAGATGCAAATTGTATTTCAAGAATTTTATATTCAATTCTATGTATATATGATTAAATCGATTCAAATTTGTGTGTATTAAAATAATATCGATATTTGATATATTAACAATATAGCAATATATATTTTTAAAAATATTTTTGAATATTCTTTTATTTACAATTATTTTAAATTAATAATGATGATATTGCTTTGAAAATCTATATAAATATAAAATTATTTAAAAATTTAGCTAGTGTATATTAATAATTAATCATTAATTTTAAATTAATAACTGGTAATAGTTGGTACTTGAAGTTAACTTTGCTTTCAACTATGTTCAAGAATAATAAATGTCGTAATATCACTAAAAACTAGTTAAATATTTGATTTTAGTTTTTCAAGAGAAGTACTGAAAATGTAAAACATCTTACGATAATAAAATGAACTATGCGTCGATCCTCTGGCTCATAGTTGCGTGTATTCAACAAATTATTAAACTAAACAAACCAATTACTCTATGGTAGATATTTTTACTTCTAATGATGCTTTGCAACTTTCTTATAACAATAAAAAATCTTTTTAAGGAAATAATAACTGAACGAATTATAAATTTTTACAAGCAAAATATAATTTATTATATTTATAATAAATATAATATAGACAATTTTGTTTTCATTCGTTCAAAACTAAATTAAAATTATTTAAAATAACAGAAACAACTTATAAATACTCATTATAAATTTTATCATATAATTATCATATCAATTATATTAAGATAAGTTAGCTTTTCGCGGTAGAGTTTTCCGGAATCAAAAATGGCGGTTGCCAAGCACTATTTAAAAAATCGCTTGAATACAACAGAATATTCATCTATATAACAACTATCGTTTTTATAAATTGAATATTTAATCATAATAATATAATCATTATCAACTCTATAAGAAGAAATAAACACAAGTTAATAATATATTACTATAAATAATATGATATTGTAATATCTAAAAATCTTGATTTCCAAATTTAGAGAGTAGTTATTAATTAAAAGTTTTAACTTTTAATTAGGTTTTTACCTATTAATGCTTACCTTGTTGAAAGTAATTGGCTTTTCGAAGAAATACGCAGACCAAGGCCATAAGCTGTAGTTGGGAAAGTCTCTGACGAGTTGAGGGCGGTAATGGCAGTAAATCACGTAAGTTGGCAATTTCGGCATTTATCAGGTCCCTTCGAAGTTTGCTGGCACCTTTCGTTGATTTGCTCGCATCTATCCTTCAAGCACACACGGATGTTACCGATACGCTATACTTCGCGGGACGGTTGAATCTACTTACGAAATTGACGTGCGTTGTACACATATTTTTACTATTTTTAAACGATTCGTATAGATAACAAACCTAGCATATATATAAGTTTTTTAAATTTTTTTTAAAACTTATATTAATTTTTAAAAAAGTTTTTTAAACTTATATTAATTTCTATGAATTTTTATCAAATTTATTTCTGAATTTTCTTTTTTTTATTATATAGTCTAATCTATATTATTGTCCAAAATAAATTATAATTAAATTACCATTCAAAAAAAAAATAATATATCGCGTCAATCGGTAAAACTTACTTTTTAATAAGTTGTCAAAATTCGAATTTCTTCGAACCAACGATACGCGATGTGGCGAATGCCACTATCGGAAGCGCTTAACGAAAGGGGTAGAAATCACGATTGACGGTCAATGCTTTAGAGATAAGTGATATATGCGATGCGTTAAACATATCATCAACATGTCGATCACGTGACCGAACATTACTTACCGATTGAACATATTTCGGTGACCAGGAGGACATTAGTAGCGGATCACTTGTAGACGACGAACGAGACATCCGGGTCGGCAGGTTCTCGCAAAACTGCAGCTACGATCTAACATCCGGGTCATAACGCGCTACTACACTGAACACGTGGATACTGGCGGAGGCTGGTTCTCCTACCTTCTCACCTCCGCAGCCCCCCTTTTTCTCCTTTGCCGCCACCACCACCATCGCCACCCACCTTTACCTCCCTTTCCGTCCACCTCGAGTAGAGCTGTCCTTCTCCCGCTTACGACAGATACGATAATCTCTTCCCTGTTTCACTGTTTATATTCCTTAGTCGCTCCCACTCGTCGATTTATCTCACTCGTTTATTCCCTTTCGCCACTTTTTCGCTCGCTCGCACCTTTACCCCGTACTGCTACCACGGTCACGATCGGGCAGTCGTGTCCCTCTACCACCGCCATCATCGCCATCCTCGCCACCACCACCAGCTACTGGTTGCGTTTCCTGTACATGCGGTTTTGTCCAAATCATTTGCGCAAAGTCCCGCCTTAAGAACTTTTCGGTATTGCTCTGAGAGCGCTCCAGGGGTACCATACTGCTCGAGTAAGGTTGAGATTTTTCGAAGCGAAGTTTACATTTTGAACGATATAATAACAATCTGTAAGTCATTAAAAAATGTGATTTGTATTTTTTTTTTTTTTTTACTGTAATCTGAAGAGAATTTCAAATAATTTTGGATAATTTGATTGACATTAAAACAAAATTTAGGAATAGAATATCAAATAAAAGATATTATTGAATTTGTAGGAAGAAGAAAATGAAGATATATATATATATATATATATATATATTATTTTTTTCAATTATTTTTTAATTATTTCATTAATTGAATAAATTAATTGAAAAAAACAATGAAATTACCGTGTATTTTTTTTTTTAAGATGTATTCATTGTTTTATTACACATTTTTTTTGTATCTGTTTTCTATTTAAAATATTGTTTTACAAGATTATTGGCATCAGAGGCAGCTTTGTGTTAACTATTAATGATTACATTATAATAAATTATTAATCGAACGAATTTTTTTTCCTTTCTTATGGAATATTAATATTTACTTGAAATTATTTTTATTCTAATAATATTGAATATTCTTATTATTATCTATCTTTCGATTTTGTTTGTATAAAGATTTGTTAACATTTATCTTTTTTTTTAATGAAAATTAATTTAATTTACTACATATAAACTGAAGTAATACATTTTACTTTCTTATTTTATTTCATAAGCATAAAAATTATACTGCTCGAAATAATTGGAATAGCAATTTATTAATTTTAATAACAAATAAATTTATGTATTTATTTTATTCTATAATTCAAAAATATGATTCCTAATTATTTTGAGCAGCGTTTATTAATTGGTTCATTCGACGGTTCATTTCTTTTGAACTTAAAATTATATTCAAAATGAAATACTAGAACGAGAAATTTTTAAATCAAAAATAATTCAAAATAAATATGTTTTATCCATTCTTTAAATTACAGATGGTTTTTATTTTTTATTTGTCATATTAAAAGCAAAACTATTTGTAATTTATTCAAAAGAATAATATACAATTAAATATAGAATAATAATATAATAATACACATTATCTCAAATTAATTTCCAAATTTTATCAGTATATTTTATAAATTTAAATAAGAAAAAAATATTATAAATATAAATCGTTTGAAATTTTATTAAAAAATTGATGAAATTTTATTAAAATGATAGAAGTACAAAGAGAATAATAATGGATTTGTTATTTGGTTAATATTTATATTGTTAATATAATATTAATATTTAATTTGTTTCTACTTTTGATAATAATTTTGTATAAGTTTGTATTTTTTATAATATTTTAATACTTTCAAATATTTCATTTTTTAATTTTTTATTTTAAAATATTGTTCTTCACAATATAAAATTAAAAACGGTCAAAAATCGAATATATTTCAATTTTCATTTCATTGAATACATGATTAATTTATCAATTTATTATATAAACTTATATTTTCAATAATTAATTATTTTATTTTAATACATTCTTCTTGTATTTCAAATAATTTAATAAATGCATAAACAAAATAAATAAATTTAAATATTTTTTCTTCTTTTCTCTGATTTATTCTCTTTGTATTTTGTATTTTTATCATAATTTCTTAATAAAGCTTTAAATGATGTTCATATATGATGTTTATATGCATATTTGTTAAAATTATAGTTATTTCGACCGTCAATAAAATAAAAAATCGATGAACTTAGAAATCGTATTAATAATCATTATTATAATTTCATTATCTAATTAATTAAGAAAATTTAAGGAAGCACCCTGTACATTTCCATATCTCAAATAACTAGATTTTTTGATAAATTATATGAAGGAGATGAACTCATGTGTATATGCATAATTTATTGATAAATTTATGAATATCAAAACTTAATATAAAACTATTTTCATATAATTGCATCAGCTATTTATAAAAATATTGTATGAAAAATTGACATCCTACTGTCATATGAAGTAAATAGTTGTTTATAAATTTTAATAGCTGCAACTATAGCAGTTAATTTCTTCTATTTTGTTTGCATTCTAAGTTTAGTTATTTCTCCAGTCTTTTTTATCATATTTGCAATAATCAAAGATTTAAATATAAAATGAATTTATCTTAACTTTTGATTGATTTTATGTATAAAATATATACTAATATTAAATATTTGATAAGATTAAATTAAGGATGAATTAGATATACCATAATTTCATGATTTAATTTCCAAAGAGTTTAAATACCAAAGTATTGGATATTATTGGATATAGCAGCTTTTTTATAGAAGCTGTATTTTGAGCTTCATCTATAATATAAATATTATTTCTTATTAAATAAATACCATATTTTATTAAAAAATAAAAATTTCTTGAAATGATACATTAATATATATTTTAAAATTAGCTAAAGATTTAATAATTATTGCAAATTGTTTAACATAAATTGTATAAAAGAGATTACTTTTTTAGTAACTTTCGTTTAAATAATGCTAACTAAAATAAAATTATTTTTAAACAATCTGATAAAATTTCTTTAACTTACGAATGCAAAACTGAAAAGTATTAATAAATTAAATACAAATAAATATATTTTTTAATGTAAAAATTCTTATCAATTTTGAAAAATTAATTATCTATAATTTTGAAAGTATCGAAATAAAAAATAGTTATTAAATTACAATAAAGTTCATGGCAATGAAATTATATTAATATTTGACTATGTATATTTCAAATAAAATTTATCGGCATTACAATTTGCTGTAATACGTAAATCATAATAAATGAAATCTTATAAATTACGTATAGATGGACTATAAATTAACGTTTTCGATAATGCATGCATATATAGAATGAGGCACTTAATACGTACGTAACAAATCATATTAATTTTCATTTGAAAAATAATCCCATAATTATAATTCTAAAAAAATTATTATCAGATTTTTTGAAGCGCAAAATATAAAATTTTTCACATTTCTTAATTAAAAATAAGATGATTCTTTTCTTTCTAATTTTTTAATTATCTATCTATTTTTTTCAAATTTTTCTTAATTTTAAATATTTATTGTGTATAGATATAAAATTTATAAATAAATTCTTTAAATTTTATTATAATTTTTTTACTTTTTTTATTAATACAAATAATTTTATATATATATGTATATAAATAAAAAAAGATATTTGTTGTCAAATATATACTGTGTAAAACAGAATAATTAAGTTAAAATGTTTGATTGATTTCAAAATTTAACATATATATTAAAAATACAAATATTTCTAATATATTGCATTTTATTATATTTTATTTAATATATTTTTATTGTGTTTATATGCACATGATTTATTGGATTTTACAAAATACCTTCCTCTATATAATTTGATATATAATATTCTCATTTGAATTTATCATAATAGTATTTTAATTTAAAATATTATGCTATAAAAAACTGAATAAATGCTAACTATGAGAAAGAGAATTGATTAAATAAAACGTGTTAAGTGTCTCACGCTGTACATGTACAAAACATTTTGTTCGATTTCGTTACTAAAATATATTTATATTATGAATTCTAAATATTAACTCCTATTTTTTAATATAAAGGAAAAAGATGTTTTATAATCGTAAATAATATATAACATAGATACTAAAGTATTCTATTTATAATATATTTGATTTTATGAAAATTTTAGATTAATGATATTCTTTTGATAAGTATTTTGTGCAAAATATTGCAGAAAATAAAGAAAATATGATTAATGATTATATGTTTTATGAACAAGTTAATGAATTAAGTCTCGATAATGATATTTAAACGTTCATATAAAATTATTTTCAAAATTTTCAATCATTATATTGAAATAAATAATAAAATACTCCATTTGATAAAACGAAGCAATTGTTTCATTTTCTTTTATTGTATTAATATCGACAAAAAAGTGCATTAATAATCTCCAATTTAATCAGCGAAATTTTATATAATATTTTAACTATCCATAGTACTTAATTGAATACGATTTTTATTTCAGTACACGATTTTAACTTGAACATAAGGATAAATATTTCATATTAAAATTACGTGAAACATATTATGTTGTACACATAACTTTTATTTATTTATTTATTTATTATTGATCAATTATCACGAATAACTCAACATTATAAATTTAAAAAAAAAAACCTCAAAAAAAATTAATAACTTCAATTTATTTTTAAATATTTGCATTGAATATATGTAATTATTAAATAAATAAAGAAATCGATACTTGCGTCTTTTCATTTTTTTGTATTTCACGTTTCTTCGCTGACACATATTTGTGCAATTGTGTAAAAGAATTGAAAGTTACAATTATGTAGAAATTAAGAATTTATAAATAGCTCTTTTTTTCTTTCCCTTTCTTTTGTTTGCAAATATAATCATTAAATCAATCTCTAGCCATTGAATATATGTATATATGTATACATATTCTTCCAAGCTATATATACAAATATTGTATATTATTATAGATGTTGAAGTTAAAATCAATTTGCACAAATTAATTAAAATATTACTTCGCATGATAGTTTTGTTTAATAATAAATTCTTTAAAAGTAAAATAAATCATTTACATCATTTCATTTGTGTCTGCATATATAGCGATTTTCAATCATCTACCATACAGAAATCGAACAAAGAAGCAGAATGAAATGCAACCGAAACATGTTGTTTGTTAGTAGATATTAATGAAAAATAAAAAATGACAAAGCTAATGTAATAATATTATTATTATTTATGATTCAGCTAATTCTCTGCTATCCTCGTCCCATTCGGCAAAGCTTCTTGTTTTATTTTGCGTATCATTTTTTTCCACATCTTGTTCTCCCTCAAGGTGTTCTTCTTCAATTATCATAACCGATTCCTGAGGTTCTCCTACACTGTTACTCTGTTCGCTACATTGCTCATCGTATTCCACTATTTCTGTCTGTTCTTCTACATATTGTATAACTTCTTCTACCTGATCAGAACTGCATTCTTCTAATATTTCAGATTGCTCAACTTGCATATCTTCATCCATCACTTTTTCTTCAACTTCTTCAACCACTTCTTCTACTATCTCCTCAGTCTCTTCAGTGAGTTCTTCTGAATGATAATTCTCATACGTTTGTCGTTCTACTTCTTCATTTCCATGAATATAAACAATCATTCCATCTTCCGTGCCTTGCATTACAATCTGCTCATTGTCACTAATGTTTAATTGTTGTGGTTGTTGTTGTTGTTCAGTCTCTTGTTGCTGATATTGTTCATTATCAATAAGCATGATCATATGCTGCCCATCAATATCATGTGTATTGTAAGTCATTTCGTGCGAAATATTGTTTAACTGCATTTCTGGTACCATATACTCCGATACATTTGAAGTCACTTCCTGTGATTCCGACGGAACACCATCTCCAACGCCTAAGGAAGCTGCTATACCACTAGCTACATGACTTAAAGCTTCTGCTTCTGAAGAAGGCTCTAAAGAAATTGGTGGCATGGATACTGTGGATGTATCAGAATCTCGCAAATCCTTATGCACGCAATCAAGATGAACTTGTAAATTGGTAGCTCGTACGAAAACTTTACCACAATGAGTACAACGATGACCTTTTTCTTTACCATCTGACAAATTTCCATGACCTGTGTTAATTTCATGAGTTGTTAATTCAGTCACGTCTTTGAAGGTCTGTGAACACTGCATGCATTGAATTTCCTCAACTGTTGATGAATGTTGACGCGACGTTGGTCGATGATTATGATTGATTTGATGTCTTACCAATAATGTTTCCGAGAGTGCCACATAAGAACATGCTTGACATTTCGGGAAACACATACTCTTTGGAGGAGGCACGTTGTGTTTCGTGTAAAGATGATACATTAAAATATTTCGTTTAGTTGCTTTATAACCACAGTGTTCACAAACTCGCGGATCGAATTTTTCTTCATGTACATCTTGCATGTGCCTTCTATACATGTAATAATTTGTATATTCCTCTTCTAAATCACATTTGTTACATTTCCAAGGACCAGTTTCGCCACCATCCACACTTCCATTACTCTTTGACTCAGCTTCATCACTATTATTACTTGACATCAAATGATCAGATTTTAAAACTACATAAGAAACTTTTGTTTTATTTGCTGAATTACTGTCCGAAGATTTGGCTTCTTTTTGCATGATTTTCAAACGTATGTTCTTATTATTTTTTACTAAATGAGGATATTTTTTCAATACTTCTCGAATAATTTTTGCATGATTATTTATTGCATCTTCTGAATTTGTTCTGTAAGATGATTTTCCTTTCTCCATATTCTCTTTTTCTTCGAGATCAAATCGTACTCTCTTAGATGGCGAAGGTTGTGCATCCTGGCCTCTTTGGAAAGATCTAGTCACGGACCAATCATCATCCGAATTCATTTCCTTTAAACCTTTCTCATTTGAATGACCTTCATCTTCCTCGTCTTCAGTTGTATCGTTTTTACTTTCTCTATCTGGAGAACATTTGCCACTAGGCGAATTATCTCTTTTATATTTGTCCGGCGCTTGGACAATAGGTTTTGTATTATATGTAATATCATCAAATGATGAAAACACTCCAAGTGCAAATTCTTCAGCTTCAGGAAGATCAAATCGAGAAGGTCCAGGAGTTACTTCTGTAGGTCTATTTGTTGATGACATTCCATGGAATGTTCGCATTTCATAATTAAGCGATGACATATTTTGTGATGTATCTAATTTTCTTTTCCAAATAGGAAGTCTAAAACAAAAAAAAAAATTTTTTACACAATTAAAGATAAGTAAATTAAAAATTTATATAAAATTTTTAGAATAATTATATTTAAATAAGTTATTTATATATAACATTATCTTCAAGAAAAATTGTTGTTATATAAAATTTTTTAATATATAATTTTTCTAATCTATGAAGTATATAGTTTTATACTTACTTTCTACCTGGTAATGGTTGATTTGAAAGTCCTGATGGAGTGGAAGTAATTGTTGGTTTTGTGCTAGGTGTTGAAGGCTTTGAAACTGCTATAACTGATCGTGTATTACACTTCATTGATTGTTCATTTTGTAAAGGAGCAGTGTTAAATTGTGCATCAAGTAATTTAGTTAAAACTGTCATGTTCATTTTCTGTGCTGTACGATACAAAGCATGTTGTTCTGAAGTCCAATATTCTAACTGACCAGTATACATAAAGCTATAAAAATATAATATATATACGTATATATATTATAAATATAAAATTTATTAAAGAATTAGAAATGAATTATAAAATTTACCTTATAATTGATTTTACACATTCATATGGCATATCTGGTGGCATAATGATTATTCCATCAAAATTTTCATCCTTTTCTTTTTGCTCACGTTCAAGTTGCATAAAATAATCTGTGCATGTTGTTATTACTAAACGATGAGCCTAAAAAATTAACAAAAAAATCTATAATAAATATACTGCTAAAATAAAAAAAGAAATTTACTTAATATAATTCATCATTTTTAAATAATATATATATATATATATATACACAATTACCTGAACAGTAATATCACTAGTGGGAAATTTGATTGTAAGATCAAGTAATTCTTCTTCAAAATAAAGCTGTTGTAATCTCTGAAGAAAGAAAGTTCCCCAGTTATCTACTTTTACTTGCTTTAATCCTCGTGAAGGAAGTTGTTTTTCCTGATTTGTTGGTTCCATTTTATATCTGTACATTAGTTAAAAAAATAATCTTTTAAAGTTCCAAAAATATTCATCATTAATATACTAAATATTTAAAATTTTTTATTAAATTTTATTATTAAAAAATTAATAGAAATGCTTGCAGTATTAAATAAAAAATATAGAAGTACTTTTAATTTTAATGTTCTTCAATAATATCATTTAAATTATCAAATACAGGTCAAGTATTAGAAAATTTTAATGAATAATAATGAAAAATATATTATTTTATTATGCAATATGTTTAAAAATTAATATTTATTAATTTAATAAACTATATTATATTTTCTTACCTAATATTATTAAATTAATTATTTATTATATCTATTTATACTGCTGATCCAATGGGACAAAATCCTGTAATAGAAAAAAAATAAGGAATATCGCAACCTTAATCTTTAATTATAAGATAATAAATTATAATTTCATTTTCTAATAAAGAAATATTTATATCAATTTACATTAATTATAACTGTTATTATAATACTTATAACTGTTTTATTAATTAACTATTATTTGTAAAATTGTTTAATATCATAAAAAAAATTATTATTTACATTACATATGCTATTTCATAGGCACAAATATTACTTAACATTCCTGAAAATAATCCCTTCGTACTTGTAAATCAAATGCCATAAAATCCATGTCATAAAGAAAATTATTGTCTCAATTAATTATTTCAGAATAACTTAACCTGACTGGTTTCTAAAAATTAAAAGTTTCATATCTTATATTATAATAATATATTAACGAAGTCCATTGACATCGGAATATGGTTCTGTAACTTACAATAGCAAACGAAGTACGCTAATATAAAAATTCTACAGTATATGTAACGCTATGTACATATTACTATAAAATTGCTCCGAAATTCAATTAAACTAAAATATTGCAAAAAGAAGAATACTATACAAATGAAAGGAAGTAAAAGAACTGATGAAAGTATCAGCGTATACTTTGTGGAACGCTGAAAAACGGAAGTTTAATAATGATGCACGTCTTCCTTTCATGATCAAAGTCGGACATATTAATGGTTATTTCAAATATATACAAATTCAAAATACCCCGTGGATATATTGCACGTACCTATTTAACAATATTTCAATATTCCTCTCAGCTCCATCTCTTATAAATTTCCTTAGTACACAAGTAATATTGAACATTCCATTGTATATCACGACTCACAGATGGAGTTATACGTATCGACTGATCACCACAGGAACAAAATATGGAGAAACGTACAACTATAAAATTATAAATTTTACTAGTTTTATAAATTATAGTAGTTTATAATTTATATATAATGTAAAAAAAAAAAGAAAGAAAGAAGATATTTTATCCAAAAATCATTAGAGAATTTTTATGAAAAAATACAATTAATTTCATAAATTTAGATTAAATGTAATATATACAGCATATTCTGGCAATATTCTTATCACATCCACAATGCAATATATGACAAAAAATGAATATTAATAGATTTAAATATTATTAATAATCAATTAAATGTAATACATAAAAAATTTTTATTAAATTATTATATTAAATTTTTAAAAATACTTAAAAATATTTTTTCATAATAAATATTAAAAATAATTAATAATAATATCAAATACTATATATATTTATTATATTTTTTAATCTAATAAAAATTGTTATGTAGATAAAAATTTTTTTTTTTTAATTCCTTTAATAAAATAAAGTTTTCTTAAAATCATTAAAACTTTACATGATCTAGGGAATTTATATAATATCTCTGAAACTATATTCTATAAATAAAAATGCATTTACTTTTTTTTATAAAATAGATTATATATGATCATACATATAAGAAAAATAAATATAACATCAATGGATGAGTGAAATGTATGAAACACTAGCTAATATCAATAATCATCGATGATTAAACGTAAAAAAACCCCAATGGAAAATATAAAATATATTTCCATAAAAGGGGTGAACACATGTATATATTTTAAAAACTGTCATTAGATACTACTATTTGTTTCTTATTTGTTCTAAAATTACATCTTTTTAGAATATCATAATTTAAAAAAATGGAAGATTTGATATTGGATTTTGATCAAAGCTGCTTGTAATAAAAAGTAAGAAAAAAATTATAATAATATCTTAGTTAAACATCATATTATATTATTTATATTTTATAAAATTAATTTTTTTAAATATATAATTTCTAAAAAAATATTAAAACTTAAACAACAGGTTTTATAGGATGATGAGGTTGAATTTCAAAACAGTATTACTTGTAATAATAGTTGCAGTGTTAAGTTCAATATTAACATCTTGGAATAATTGTGGTAGTCCATCATTTTTTAAAAATACTGATTGGAAATCAAAATTTCAACATAAAGTAAGTAAATTTAATTTAAATTTACATAATTTAATAATAAATTTAATATTCATTAATATTTTTATAAAATTCTTTATATATTATTTATACATTATTTTTAAATTAATTCTTCAAAAATTATATAATAATATCAAAACTATCATAGCATTTTATTTTTTTACATCAATTATATTTTAATTGGAATTTTAATTAATATCTTTAATAAAATAAAAATTTATAAAATAATAATAATATTTATTTTATTATTACTTTATTTATTTTTATATAAAGGATCGATTAAACTTAGAAACTGGATATCAAGAAATAGATTGTCACATAAATGGTGATTATTCTATTGGATGTCGTAAGGAAGGAGATGAAGTTTATATACCATTCTCATTTATTCATAAATACTTTGAGGTAAATATCAATTATATATATTAATTATATATAATAAAATATTAATATTTTTAATATATATTAGATTTATGGAAAGCTAGCTACCTATGATGGTTTAGAAAGATTTGAATGGCTACACAGTTATTCCAAGATTGTTAATCCTAAAGGAAAATATGATCCTAGAGGAGTGTTTATGACCTTTGAGAATTATAATGTTGAAGTTCGAGAACGTGTCAAATGCATTAGTGGAAATGATGGAGTACCAATATCTACTCAATGGGAGAGTCAAGGATATTATTACCCTACTCAAATTGCTCAATTTGGATTATCACATTATAGTAAAAATTTAACAGAACCAGAGCCTCACAGAAAAATAATTGAAGATTCAGATAAAGTTAAAAGAGAATGGATTATACCTCAAGGATCTATTGCATCTAAAATATTTGATAAATATGCTAATAGTTATGTAATGAAATTTGCAACACCAGAAACTAGTACTTCTGGTATTACTTTAAAGTTAGATCATGTGCTAGATTTTGTATTAAAATGGGATTTTAATATTAAAGACAATGGAAGTATCATGATTACATTGCAATCTAGAGAAAGAAAAGAAATATATTATCTTCATTATATTACTAGTAATATAGTGTTACATACTTATAACAATCATGTTTATTATGGAATTGGTCAAATTAATCATCAGTGGAGAAGATTCACTAGAGATTTAGTTATAGATCTTCAAAAAGGTTTATATTTAAATGATAAAAATAAAAAGAAAATGTCTCGTTCAAAATTGAAGGTAAGATTTAAGTATAATAAATAAAAGTAATAAAAATAATAAATATTTAAAAAAATATATATAATTAAAAATACTATTTTATAGATTGTGAAGATAACATTATATGGATCTGGAATGATTGATAATGTAACATTGTCTACAAGTGAACATATGGAACAATTTTATGATGCAGCTAGATGGTTTGTTAGTAATCAGAATATTACTTCTGGTGGTTGGGCAAATCCTGTACGAAGAAAAGTAGCTACTGGAATGGCTACTCTTGAACCTGGATGGTATAATTTTAATAAATTTTTAAATTTTAAAAATTCATGATTAATATATTTATCTAAATAAAAACTTTTTGTAACAATAGGTATTCTAGTATGGGTCAAGGCCATGCAATTTCTGTATTAGCAAGAGCATATTATCATTCTGGTGAAGAAAAATATTTACAAGCTGCTGTTAGAGGTCTTCAACCTTTTAAATTATCATCTAATAAAGGAGGAGTAGCTGCAGTATTTTTAAATAAATATGTGTGGTATGAAGAATATCCTACAACACCTTCTTCGTTTATACTTAATGGATTTATTTATTCTTTAATTGGTTTATATGATTTAAAAAGCATAGCAACAGGTAAAGATGCGGAAGAAGCATCCCGCCTTTTTAATCAGGGTATGACATCCCTGAAAAACATGTTAACATTATATGATACAGGTTCTGGTACTACATATGATTTGCGTCATTTTACATTAAAAACTGCTCCAAATTTAGCTAGATGGGATTATCATTCTACTCATATTAATCAACTTCTTCTTTTAAATTCAATTGACAATGATTCGATTTTTACTACTACAGCAGAACGTTGGATAGGTTACATGAATGGTAAGAGAGCTGCACATAATTGATTTTTTTTTTTTATGATTGATTTTTGTATTTTTCTGTTTGTTTATTTATTAATATTTAATATCTTATTTTTTTATTTCATTTTGTATTATACATTTTGTAAATAATTTTTAATAATCACAAGATAAAGTGGACCAAAATATATTTCTCTTTTTATATAATTATTGTAAAATGAAAATAACAATCAAATATTCATTCTTAATTAATTATTTACTGATATTCTTGAAATATTATTACATGAATATAGTTATTGAACAAAAAAAGTAAGATGATGAATACTTATTTATTCATTATAATGAAATATAAAATTTAATATTCTATAGTCAAATTAGATCTATATTATATATATATAAAGAGAGATGTACTATATTTTAAAATAGTTTATTTAATTTAATAAAAAATCATAAAGAATACAATTCTGAATAATTTAAAGATTTTAAATATTTAAAAACAAAATTATCCCTAAAAATAGGACTTATTAAAACTTAAATATTAGTAGAATAATGTAGTAATATAAATGTGTTATGTATAAATTTTGTACTTAAAGAATTAAATGCAATATTTAAATTTTATAAATTATATTTCATAAAATATGAATTTTTTAATTTATATGTTATGTATTAAATTATGTTATAAAATAAGATTAAATAAGTTCCTAATTATTTGAATATTTTATTTTTTTACTTTAGTATATTTTTTTATTTTATTTTAGTATATATATGTATTAAAATAAATTTTATTTTTTTAATATGAATTATTAATGATTTAAAAAATTGATTTAAATAAAAATATATAAATTCTAAAATCTTTCTTGTAATATTTAATTTTATAAAAATTTATATATATGATTTTACTTTAATGAATATAATTGAATTAATTTATGAATCAAATAATTGATTTGTAAAAGAATTTTTAAATATTTCATTTTATGAAAAATGAAATTTACTTTATATATTATATGGAAGTTTGTAATTTTTTACAATATATTATGAATTAATACTAATGATATCTATTATACTATACAGTTTTCACAGTTTATAATATTTTTTGTAAAATATATACAAAAATTAAAATATGATAAACATATAAAAATATAATTATGATAATATTTTTGTAAATATTTGTAAAATAATTGTTATTGTTGATGTAGAATTAAAATGTTATTTAAATATATTACATAATTTCTGAATTTGAAAAAAGTCTTAAAATTCAATTTTTAACATATTGTAATTATATTATCAATTATTTCTGTGATTTATGAATATAATAAATAATTTTTCAAGTGTAATGCATAAAATATAAATACATTTACAAAAAGTTTAAGATATATATTTTATGGAATTTCACATATTGAACATATAATACATAAGAATTTAATTTAATTCAATTATAAAAATTGGTAATGTCAACAAATTTTAAAAATAATGTTTTTAATCAATCCTTTTCCATATTTCTATGTGTAAAAATATTATCTGTATTTGTGATTGTATTTATAAATTAAAAAATCATTCAATTTTTTATTATAATACAATAAAAATAACTAATTTATACACACATTTTAACAATCTTTTATCAAAATGAATTTAAATATAATGTTTTTAAAACCAAATTTATTTATAAATATTACTAGAATACAATATTGTAAATATTAAAACAAAATATATATATACATATATATATATATAAATATTGATGATTACATAAAAAGAAAACGATAAAATTAAATACTAAAATCATCTGTCATAGATTGTGCAGATTAAATATAGACAAGAAGAAAAAATAATAGGAGAAAGATAGTGATAGAATGAAAATAATGAAATCAGCGCCATCTGTAAAGTGCCGCAAATGAAACAATTAAAAAAGGATAGCAAATAAAAAAAGAATAGAAATAGTATAAGATTTAACTATTAGCGCCATCTCTTGATTAATAAAGGAAGTCTTTTTGAAAACAGTTAAAAGATGGCACTAGTACTTAATTCTTATTCTATCTTATCCTTTGAAGAAATGTCTTTAGCATTCAAAAGATGGTACTGACAGTCAATTCTTATTTTATTTCTATCCTTTTCTTAATATTTACTATCCTTTTTTTATGTATTTGCGGCACTCTGCAGATGGCGCTGATTTCAATATTTTTATTCTATCTCTATCTTTCTTTTATTATTTCCTTTTCTATCTTACATATACGCAAATAGAGAAATCTATATTTAAAGATATATATAATATATATGAAACCATTTGAGTTATTTATTTCACAATAGTTTATAAAAATATAATTATGTATAAAACGCAATATCTCATATATATTTACTAGATATTCTAGAAAAGGATATTCATTTTATTTTATTTATTTATAATTTTATATGAAAATTTTGTTTTAATTCCAGCTATTGTTAATGTTACGATCTTATTCTGAGCCGAATCGGTAATGTTGAGAACGATACTAAAATGATAAGAGTCCTAGTGTCCTCGAAACATGAAACAAAAAAAATGTATTGAATGTTAGGTTTATTCTGTATCTCGTTTGTGTTTTATATAAAAAATATAAAAAATAAATATTAATATAAAATGTCATACTTATAAAATTACAATCATTAGATATTATTACATATTTTTATAAGTAATAAAAATAAATACGATATAAAACAAAAGTTTTATAAAACTTTATTTTACAATTATTTTTGCCTTTATTCCTATTTTAGATTAAATTAAATGTAAATAATAATAATATAAAAATGAGTGGTGGAGTGGTACCTAGTAAATCAACTGTTTATATTTCAAATTTACCTTTTTCCTTAACGAATAATGATATACACCAACTTTTACAAAATTATGGAAAAATTGTAAAGTAAGTTATGAAATCATCAATCTATGAAATATTAAATATTTAATTTTTATATTATATATACATTTATATAATACAATTAATAAAAAATATATTGTTTAGTTTTTTTTATATAATATTTATCTTTATTCATTTAGTATTTATGTTTCTTAAAAAAAATAATCATATCCAAAACTAAGAAATAGAAGAAATTTTATTATATATTTTATTAAATTTATTTTATACATGTACATATATTGATCTTAATGGAATATAATATTAATTGTTAATATATAAAATAAAAATTCATATCAAATAAAAAAAAGAAAATTTTTATTTTATTGTGAGTTTTATCTTTTTTATGAGAAATTTGATATATGAAATACTTATTTGTCTATAGAGTGACAGTAATGAAAGATAAAATAACAAGAAGGAGTCGTGGAGTTGCATTTGTATTATTTCTTACTCCAGAAGATGCTATTACTTGTGCTAAAAATTTAAATAATACAGAGGTGAATTATAGTTTTTTTTATCTAATATTTATTGCATTTTATTTTTTATAAATTCTTTTTAATAGATAGGTGGTCGTACAGTAAGAAGTTCCATAGCAGTAGATAATGGAAGAAGCACTGAATTTATACGTCGAAGAGATTATCCAGATAAATCTCAATGTTATGAATGTGGAGAAGAAGGTCATTTATCATATAATTGTAAAAACAATACATTAGGACCAAGAAATCCACCCTTAAAGAAGATTCGAATCAGAAAAAAACATAAAATTAATAATCATAATATAAATGATTTTAATAAAAATAGTGATAATGAATCAGCAGAAGATAATTGGGATGAAGAAGTAGAAACATTAAGTGCTGCTATTGCATTAGAGGTAATGTACTTTTACATGTTTTCTAATATCTTTTTTTATTCTTATAATGAAATTTTAAATTAGATAATTATTTATATATATTAATTAAATATATATTAATTTATATATTTATAATCATTCATAAAATTTTATATTTTAGCAAAGACAAAAAGAATTAGAAAATAATCAAAGATTAAGGAATAAAGGCTATGAAGAGGAAAATCGATCAGTTAAAAAATCTGGCAAAAGATATAAAAAAAATCAATATTTTAGTGATGAAGAAGATTTTAGTGAATAAATAAGTAAATAGAATATGAATAAGAATATAAAAATATTAAAAAATTATAATATAATAAAAATTTAATCTAAGTTATATTTGTAAAATATTATTTTGTATATAAATCTATAAATAATTATTTGTATATATACAAATTGCAATAAATTTATAGTAAAATCTCCAATTTTTAATTTTAAAAATTTTATTTTTTACAAGCTCCATTTCATATAACTATCTTTTATAAATCAACTATTAAATATGAATATATTATGTTATAATTGAAAACTTTTAGTAACTTAACCTCAAATTTATTTGAAAGTTGTTGAAAGAAATAACTACTTTTTTCTACAAATAATTTTTAAATATATATATATAAATAATATATTTAAAAAAATTAAAATAAAATATTAAAGATTAATGTAAATATAATTTAATACTATATTTTGACAGAAAACGAATAATCAATAACAAAAAAATTGAAAATATAACCTTAAATTATGATAAAAATTATTTAATTCAATATAAATATTATATATTATGTCAGGTTTAGATTTATTAAGTATATATATGTCTGATTCTGAAGATGATGAAATTAATGATAAGAATAAATCTAACGAAAATTTTAAACGGTATTTATATATTATGATTTTATTTAATAATTATTTATTAATAATTAGAAATTTTTTTAATTTAAATATATATATGTAATTCATTTATGGAATATGTATTTTTACTGAAATATATAAATTTATTTTTTAACTTTCATAAAAAAATTTTACAATTTTATAATAAATTTTTAAAATTAAAAGTATAATATAGATTATATTATGTTTTTAATATTATTCATAATATATATTATCAATATAATAATATAATGAAATATGATTTTTTTTATTTAAATTTATATATATATTTATAAACATAATTAAATTATTTAATTATTTATAATTTATTTTATTTTTTTTTTCTATTAATGTTTATATTTCAATTCATATTTAAATTCTAAATATAATAATAATCAATAAAAACGACATATTTGTATGCATACAAATAAATAAAACAGATTTTAATAAAGTTAAAATATTTGTATATTAAAAAGTTACTTATAAAATATATTTTTTATTTTTATTTATATATTATTTACTTATATTTTTTAAAAATAATTTCTAATTTCTAATATAGATTACCTTTACCTGGAAGTATTATGTCATGGAAAGGCGTTCCTCATCATGAAGAAGTATATGATGATCCATCGCAACATGATGGAAGAATAAGAAGTTTTAAACATGAACGTGGTAACTGGGCTACTTTAATTTATATTAATTGTAAATATTTAAAAAAATAAATAATATTGTTTCAATTATAAAGATTAAATTATAATCACTATTTTATATTTCAGATGAACCTAGTGAAGCTATATTTTCATGGATATTTTCAGTTTTAGAAGAAATGAATATTAAATGTAATATATTTTCTGAACAGTTTCACATTAGTCTAACAAAAACTTTAATTTTAAAATTTCATTGGATTGAATCTTTCATAAAAGAAACTAAGAAATTATGTGAACAGACAGATCAATTTGATTTGAAGCTTTTAAATGTGAAGGCATATACTAATGAAGAAAATACTCGTACATTTCTTGGAATAGAATGTATTGATTGTAATGGAGTTCTTGCTCATTTTGTAGAAAATATTAACAAGTTTCTTGCTGAATATGATTTACCACCTTTTTATGAAGTAAGTAATACATACTTATATATATATGAAATAGATTATAATATTAAAAAATATATATTCCATGAAATTATAACAGATTATTTTGATAAAAATTTTATATTATTTAGGATTCTTCCTATCATATAAGTTTTTTATGGTGTCTTGGCAATGAATTTGTAGGTTTAAATAATTATACACATTCTTTGACTACTAAATTGAATCAATTTTTGATTGAACATTCAGAAGAAAGATACATACATATTACTAAAATACATCTTAAGATTGGAAATAAATTGTATGCATTTAAATTAAGATAACAATTTATAATTTCTTGTAAAATAAATATATAATAACTATTTCTTATTATGTGAAAAATATATAAATATTTATTTTATATATTTGATATTGATTTTCTGTCCATAAAGTTTCATTATAAATCAATAAAAAAAATATCTTACAATTTTATTTAACTTTCTTCATATTTCCTATTTTGTATATAATAATCTAAAAGTCTTTCAATTTAATTTATGTTATTAGATATAATTATATTTATATAATAAAATTGACAAAAGTTATATTTTATATATCATGAATAATATAATATTCAAAATTTTAAAGTTTTATATATACTTTTTATTTTTTTTATTATGAAATATTTATAATAGTTTTCATTATTTTTAACTTATAATATATATATAACATATTTATTTCTGAAATTATTAAAAAATGTTTTCTCTCATTTTTTTTACATTTTTTGATAAGAATTTTTCTATTTTATATCTTAATTTGCTTAAATTTTATTTTGATGGATATAAATTTTACGAGTATAAAAAAGAATATAAATATAATTAAAAAATTAATATAATCTAAAAATATAAATTTAAATATGCGAAAATTATTTCATCAATAGTTTAAATTAATCTAATAAATGTTGATATAGATTTATCTCTTGAATATTTTTCATTAAAGTACATTAATAATACGCATTTTTAAAACATAACTTTTGATACAATAATTTTTTATCTTAAAAGTTACATTTTTAGATTACATTCAAATATTATAAAATAATATTATAAAATAATATAAAATAAATAAAAAAAAAATTAAAAATTTCATATCTATCAAGAAACAAAAATCAATTTTGAATTCTTTTAATAAAATTAATTTTTTCTTTTAATAAAATTTGATAATAAATAATGTTTTTGTTGATATTTTAAGATATAATAAAAAAATAATCTCAAAAAATTTTTAATTCAATAGGAACGTGAAAGTAAATTAATGATACGATTATATAATAACAATATATTTTTTAGCAGTACATAATGACGTATATAAATGTATGTAAAATGTAAAATATACCGTATATGCACGATCAACGTGTCATACGGGATATGTGTTAACATTTGTCAGACTTCTAAATCATATAAAAAAAAAAACACAATATTTCGGCAAAAACAAATTATTTACAATGCTTAATATTTTTATACAGATGTTTTATCCATCATAATTTTATCCATTCTTTACAAAAAAAAAGCATCGCTTATTTTATATACAATATTATATTCTCGTTTAACGAGTATCGGTCAGCTCATAAAATATATTAAGTACACAACAAGGAATGTATCAAAAAGTCTTCGAATTCTATGTGTTTAAAATATAATAGAATGTACAACATATTTTTTATAATTATGTATTGCACCCCTGTTCTTTTTTTTCTAAATGATTCATTGAATATATTCGTTTAAATATGTAAATTCAACATGGGTGTTTTACAATCGTATATTATAATCATTTTGTGGTTTTTTCTTATTAGAATAAATCTTACCTTATAATAAAATGAAGCTTTCTTTCCGCTATGAAATACCATTCGATCCATTAGTTGATTTTTCTGGTAAACACTTCATGATTGTAGGTTCTATTAACTTCCATACTTCAGCGAGCTATGATGCATTTTAAATATTATTTATTTAAAAATTTAATAAAAATCTATTTTTTATAATAATTTAATTTTTAATAATAATAATTTCATTTTGATATATTCACAAAGAATTACAATTAAATTTTTTTTAATTAATAAATGACACTTACCAAATTTTTATTTTCTTTATCTTTTTGATAGCATAAAACATGTTAAAAATTACGATATTTAAAATATGTTATGAACAGTAAAGAAATCTTACCTCAGAATGACCACGAATTTGAACGTTGACAAGACTTTGTAAAACTGTGGCAAGTATTTCTAAATGAGCATGAACGAGCTGCGTTTCCATATGTAAACAATGCAACGAAAAACAATTTCGCAATTCGACGTTTGCAATCACTGATTCTTGAGCAACCATTTTATTTTCCAGATATTCGACTGTGTCACTCTATAAATAAAAGAAAATTTGATGTGTTAAAACGATTGATAATAACATTATTTCTCATTTTTACTTAGTTATAAAAAAGTAATCAAGAATTTTTATAATAATAAATAGTGAAAAATTATTCAAATATCCATTTTTTTTTAAACAGAAACTTACTCATGGTGTAATTTCTAATATTTAAGGAATATCAGGAGTGAATTATTAACAAAAGTTTTTTATAAAAGTATTTATAAAAAATAATGGAAATTTTGATAGCTTAAAAAACACTTCATATCTAAATTATTTGCTTATGAATTCGATATTATTTATTAATACTCTACTATAATTCTAATTTACTTTATAATTTATAATTATAGATAATAACATTTGTGATAATCAATATAAAAGAGCAAGAGAATTTGTTGAAATGTGACATGTGTCATGCATCAGCTTGTTTTCAATTGGAATGAATTATGTAAGATGATATAAACTCGAGATATATTATCACATTTTTCCTCTGACATTAACATAAAAGACCTTGAGCAATTTCCGAATAATCATGTAATGACCGCATATGGTAACAATAATTGAGTTAAATCACCGGATAAATATGTGTATTTCTTAAGGCTGTATATAAATCATATACCGTTGAACCATTTTCTTGAAGGATCTACTTACGTCAGTTCCTCGTATCACGCCTTGCATTTGCCTCTTCTTTAAAGATAACATTGTAGATAATGCACGCTGATGATCAGCACTTACTCCACGTTCGTGCCTCTCGCACAGGATTCTATGCGCTACTAGAACGTCTAAGAGGAGATTCAACCTTTCACATATCATTGTTTCCTCTCTAACTGCTTGTTGAAGAGCTCTCGTTGAGAGTAAGTTGAATTCTCTGAAAATAAATTAAATTATGTTAAATGAAGTTATATTTTAAAGTAAATAATGAATTACTTTCGATTGAGATATTTATTACAAATATAAATTAGGATATTTAATAATTGAGATTTTATGAAAATGGAAA